AAACATCACACTGTATTGTTCACTTTAAACTTTTATCTTACTTCTGAAAGGTCTGGGGTGTTTCTACATCTGAAGGCAAATTTTATCTCATTATGACCAAGTAAGAGTTGAGCTTTTCAAATGGCACACAGGGACACAGGTGCTTTGTGATCTGGGTCCAGCACCATCGGGGCTACTGGAACAGAACATCCATCCTTTCCAGGACATGCAGGAATTTGTTTTGTAGCAGAAGCATCAATGATTTTGGTTTCTGCAGGGGCAGAACACCAGGACACACGCCTCAGGAAAGCAGGAACTGCAGAGATGTGCACTGGAAGGAGAGTTTCCAGGCTGAAGGCTCTGTGTGCTCCTGACACCCCATCCTAATGCCCTGCACAGTGTTCAGCAGTGACTAGACACACTGCATTGAAATATTATTATTGACTCTGGGCAGGGACACCTCCCACCAGAGCAGGTTGCTCAAGGCTTCATCCAACCTGGCTGTGAACACTGCCAGGGCTGGGGCAGCCACAGCCTCTCTGGGCATCCTGTGCATCACCCTCACAGGAAAAAACTTTTTTCAAATATCTAACCTAAACTTCCTCTCCTTCAATTTGAACCTGTTACCCCTTGTCCTATCATTGTTCCTAATACAGAGCCTACAAAACATGCTGCCATATAAACATGCTACTAGCTCAGCAAGAGCACATCTCAGGTCAATGGCAAACCTTGTGCATCTTGTTTTGTAGCTGATTTTGCAGGTGAGAAAACAGTGTACTGGCTACTCTGAACTTCAGCTTGGACACTCACAAACAACATGATTCTGGTTTCAAGAAATACTGTGTCCCACACAGCAGCAGAGGTGCTGCAGTGTTCTGCCAGCTGTGCATTCACAAGGGGTTGGCACAATGATTCATTAGGGAAGCCACACTTCTCTTCACCACAAGAATTATGAATGGAATGAGAAGGCACTGGAGAAACACCTTTTCTTCTGAACCCATAACCCTCTTAGTGAGTTTCTAGGTCACAAAGAAGTCATGATTTAGATTTGCACAAATTAACCTGATTAACCCAATCACCTTTGAATGTAAATAGTATAATGTAAAGACTTACAGAGCAGTAATGCTTCCTTGCAAAAAGTTTTTCATTCCTTTGACTCGAGTTTAATGTTGGAATAAAACCAAACTACCTTGACACTGCACACTGCTGGAACAAACTGCAACCTTCACTGCACGCTGAGCTAACAAATGCTTTCCTGATCTGATTCTCTGAACTCTACAAATAAGGACAATAAGGACATAACAGATAATAAAAAGACTTTAAATATTTTAATATATATTTAATATATATTTCCTATATATATTAAAAAATATATTAAAATTGTTATAATGATCCTAAATGTGAGTAATGTACTGCAAGTTGAAGCTGAGGAGAGTTTGTAGTGACTTGCAGCTCACACTGGTTCTGATACTGCACTCTAAGCACTAGCAGTGATGCTTTCCTCACTTGAGGGTTACTGGAACAGCACAACACAGGCTGGCTGGCACTCCACACTTACCTCCTGGCTTGTTTTCTGGCCTGCCTTCATGTAGAAAATGAAAACAGTATCAAAAGGACGACAAGGTAGTAAATCCAAGTAGCCAAGGTCATCAAAAAACCCAGGAAGAGCAGAGTCAAGTGCAATCAGGTGAGGAGGTAGACGACTGTTAGCAGGTTCCTGTGCAACAGACAGTTCAGCATCTTAAACATCTTTCCTAACTGAAAGTTCTTCATGGTTCCAAAAGCAATCCATTAAAATATAAAAAGACAATTTCCTTTCTCTGATAGCCAAATCACACACAAATTTCTGATGCAATCTAATCCTGTTACTGTAAATGAGCAGCAGCAGCATAACAGGTTGACAATTTGTTGCATTCTGCTCTCATTATATAAAACCAGTATTTTGCCAGTGGAACCAACACATTTTGCTCAAAAGCAGCTAGCTACCCCAACTGGAGCAGAAGATGCTTCCAGAATATCACAGCCATGCATATACTCACATTTCATATTAACTTAAACACTCATGATATATAAAATACTAAGCACTTCCAGACATCATTTTTGCAGTGCTCTACAGCCTACTTTTATTGACAGCTTTCTGGGAGGAAAAGCAACTAACAACAGGGAGAATCCACAGGTAAGAGGCAGAATTTCAAATTAAGACTAGAGATTATCTCTGTTGTTAACTTTGAACCTCTACATCCACTATGAACTCCCAAGTGTTTATGTATCATTAAGCCACTTCAACACAACCATCTCTGCAGCAGAACTACAGCAGTCATGGTTCAGAAAGCCTTCAAGTATCACCCCAAAACCTAACTCAAGCTGTGGGAATGATTTCAAGTGTGAACATGTGAGTGTGGTGCTCAGTGTAAAGACACAGCCACTTATCCAGAGCATGTTCCACCTGTGGCCCAGCCTTTCACAACCCTGCTGGCAGACTGGGATCCATCACTGCATTGGGCTACACTGCAGCTTAACAGGAGTTGGAATGACACACATGATCTTCTGCTAACAAAGCTTATTTCTCCTCTTTTGCCAAGTCAGATCACATGGGAACTGGACAACACCAAGCAGTGTCAGATCACCTTCAATGCCTCTAGCGAGAGGAACCCGAAGTGAGAGAGGAACAGACGTGCTGTCTGGAACTCCTGCGCTGGCGGCGGCGGCTTGCACTCCGTGACGGGATCAGGAAAGCTCTTCTTCCGCCACTCCTCTTCACTTCTCTGATCTATGGAAGTCTCAAAGACAATCTGCTGGGCCATGCCATTCCTCAGCTTCTCATGGCGCTCTTCCAGCTGGAAAACATTGTGTGAACTGCTGATTTCACCAAAATCACTAAGATCCATGAAGAAAACAGGCACTGGAATATTGCCCAAGGAGGTGGTGGAGTCACTGTCTCTGAAAGTGTTTAAGAAGTGTCTGGACCTGGCACTGGAGGATATGGTTTAGGGGTTACAGCAGTGACAGGTTAACAGTTGGACTTGATGATCTTAGAGGTCTCTATGATTCTAAAACATAGAGACCTCTAAGATCATCAACTCTATGATTCTAAAACAGTTCCATCACTTAGGAAAGCTCTAAGCCACCGACACAGCAGCAGCTGCAATCTACTACCAGGACTGTTACTAAAACACTGTCAACAAGACCTTTCAAGGTTACAAAGTGAACACTTAAACACCCTGTTTGCATAGGAGAGCTGCTGTAAATATCCAGTATTGCCTACAGCATCTCCTGTTCAAGTGAACAGAAACTCAAATACATTAGGCTCTGCTCAACTTTAAAATATTTGAGACACACATTCCATTTTTTCCCCTCAGGAGGTCTCAAAAAAGCCCCTTCCATTTCCCCAGAAGAAGCAAGGAAATGCAAGTCACTGCTTCCAGCAATACCAGGCTATTAGGATCAGCAATAAAGCATGCTGAGCAGTGTCTCCCAGAGAACACACCCGAAGCATTGTCATCTCCCTGGAGAAGTGCAGGGATTTCATTAACTTGCAGAGGTTATTATTCCATTAATATGAAATTAGACAATCTAAAGAGTAAAACTGTTTAGAGTAAGACACTACTGCATGACTCATGAACAGATGGAGCCCCAAGAACAAAGTCAAGTCAGAGTTACTCACTTCCTCATTCACAATTTCATGTAAATCAGGAATGCTCAAGTCAGCTTTCACAAATGGGATCTTGTCCACTTCTTCAGGGAAAGGGCGATGTTTCACACTGTACTTCAAGCCAACATCGTTTTTAGGAGCTGGTCGAGGTTCTGGTACGAATGTCTGACAGAAAAAGGAGATGGTTTACATCCAAGGTATCATATCACTAGACAATATTATAACAGGTGAAAAACATTCCTTCCCCATCAGAGCTACACTAATCCATTAGTGAGCAGCATCATTGAAAAACATTAAGTACCTAAGAGACTTGTATTAAAAATGTGTGTTTTAAAAAGAGACACAGTTCTGCCCATTCTGGTATCTATGAACCTGCTTACCACCTGACCCCTGAGCAGTTGCAAATACCAATAAAAACAGCAAGCTTGCATAGCTACATCTTCTTTTCAGCCCATGCTAAGTGCCTTGAGTGAAGGCTGGCAAGGGTTTGAGGAGCTCTATTCCAACCCTCCTGACTACAATGATCACAACAAGCCAAGGCCTAGAAGGGAGCAGCAACGCTGTGGTCAGGAAGGAGATGCACTGCCAGAACATCCAAAGGGCTTGAATCATGGGTCATGATGCAATTCTGACACTGCTACTACATGTTCTATACTGTCATTATATAATTCCAAACTCAAAGTTACCAATGAGAGAAACAGAAGATCTAGGTGCAGGTTTACAGCTGCATAAGGTCCAAGCAAGCAAGACCTTTCATTGCATCTTGAGTGCTGTTTCATAAGTTTATTTACAACCAATTACATTTCAAAAGAGCAAAACTACTAACATTAAAGTTATAGAACACCTTCAAGTTGGAAAAGTCCCCTTAAAACTGGTGAGGAGGTCAGCAGCCAGGTCATGGCTTGTCCTTTGGTGTAGGAGGTAGCACACCTGGACTGACACTATTTAGCCAAAGGGCCCAGCTCCAAGCCCATCCTGGAGGGCCTTCCCAAAGGCTGCTTTGCAGAGCCCACATTCACCTAAATGTGAACATGCCAGCAGAGACTGACAGGTCCTCATTTCAGATACACTACTATTGCCTTCTTTTTACAAAGGATCATGTGAAGAGTTTAAAGATTTGGAGACCACAGACAGAAATTTTGGTAACAGGAGCACATGCTCCACCAGACAACTGCAGTAAGAAATTTTACTGTAAAATGAGATTGGGGTATTTCTCCTTCACTGTTCCTCTCCAGAGCTGTTACAGAGTTCATCTAGCCAATTTTTTTCCCCCAGCAGGTTTACAGCCATGTTCCCAACATGGGGCTCTGTAGCTCAAAGAGCTTTTCTCCCTGCAGCACTGCATTCTACACCTCCAGACTGTTCCCTCAGCTGTAAGCGCTTTATCTGACATCCCAAAACCAACATCAGTACTCATGCCTACATATTAAATACACTGTGCCTTACCCATCACTTCAGATGATGCTGTCAGAAAAAACGGAGAATGCCCCCTCCCCCTAAGCGAGTCTAGAAGGCAACAGCACTTTCACAGCCTGCAGTTAATATTAATCACAAGTGGTAAAGAGTCACCAGAGATGTGGCACATTACCTACAGCTAAAGGCCCCGTGGCTCAGCCTTAGTGTATAATCACCAGCTCTGGGGGCTGTCTCACATTAGTGGAATTTCTGCTGAACATCTCTAAGTTAAAGATTTCTTTATGGGCTTTGATAGAGACCTTTTGATTTGCTTTAGCTCCTCTTGGCAAGAGACAGAGTTGCTGGGCCCATGCAAATCTTCCAGATGTCCCACGGATCAGAACCGTGACAGAGGGGAAAGA